ACAGTAGGACTGTTACTGCCCTGTGCCCAGCTCAGTAGAGCAGCCCGAAGAACACGCAGCACCCCTCTGGTAGCTTCCTCTGGAATACAGTAAGATAATGAAACAACATAGTCAGTATCTGATTGGCAACGTGTGGGCTGCCAAATACCTTTTCATGCAGAGCATCTGAAAAACAAAAGCAAATCTTGAAAAGTTGAATGGTTGCAGAACCAGAGCCCTTGCTGAGCAAGATGGAGCCTGGAGCTCACCTCCCTGCAGCCCCACTGCAGGCTGTCTGCAGAACCAGGCAGGAAGAGCTAACTCATTTTACAGTAAATTCTTGGGTTTCAGATTCTCTCTTAATCCCCTGGGCTCAGATCTGCTGGCAGGGAAAGGCAGGTACTGCCCAAAGTTAAACAAGCTCCATTTTAGTGATTATACTTGCTGTGAAACCTGGGGCTGTCAAGCATCCTCAGAAATGTCTTCCCAGCCCCTCTTTCAACCCTCCTCCCAGTAGCCCAGCCTGGGTTTTTCACTAGCTGCAGCTCCCGTTGGTATTCTTAGAATCCAAACCAGAGCTTTTTTGCTGCAAGGCGTGCCAGGGGCCCTGGTCCCATGGAGGCAACCAAGAACTACTAGCCCATGGGTGCACAGGGGCTGCACGAATGGAGCTGACAGGTCCAGGTCATCTCTGTTGGGGAGGAGGCCTAAAGCTCTGCTATTTCAGGGCTCAGATGTGAGAGGAGCCAGGATACACCGGTAGAGGCTGAGAGTCCAACACTATAGGGCACTCCTTCCTCAGGCAGATACCTCGTGATTTAGCCCCAAGCAGCAGCTCAGCTCCACACAGCCGCTCGCTCACTCCCCCCGGTGGGATGGGGAGAGAATCAGAAAAGTGAGAAAACTCATGGGTTGAGATAAAGACAATTTAACAGGTAAAGCAAAAGCTGCACATGCAACCAAAACAAAACAAGGAATTCATTCCCTACTTCCCCTGGGCAGGCAGGTGTTCAGCCACCTCCAGGAAAGCCGGGCTCCATCACGCATTATGGTACTTGGGAAAGCAAACACCACCGCTACAAATGTCTTCCCCTTCCTTCTTCTTGCCCCAGCTTTATATGCTGAGCAAGATAACATATCCTATGGAACATCCCTTTAGACAGTTGGGGTCAGCTGTCCCAGCTGTGTCGCCTCCCAGCTCCTTGTGCAACCTCAGCCTACTTGCTGGGGGCTGATGTGAGGAGCAGAAAAGGCCTTCACTCCTCATGAGTGCTGCTCAGCAGTACCAAAACACTGTACAAATCCAAAACACAGCCCCATAGTAGCTACTGTGAAGAAAATTAACTCTACCCCAGCACATTCTTCTAAATAAGTCCTTTTTTCTTTCTCTTTTCACACAGGGCACCTGGAATGTTTTATCTTTCTGCCCCAGTTTTTCTTCTGGGCTCAAGACTTATTTCAGAGCTCCACTTTCTGAGCCTTTATTTCCTCCCTCTTTTCGAGCAGGCATCTCCACTTAGATCACAAGTGCCAAGATCTGCCTGCTACTGCAGTTCAAAGCCTGCCTTTTAGAGGTGAGGGTTTGCATGTCCTCAAGCAGAGAAGGCCATCAAACTCACATCTCATGTCTTAGATGAGTTCTTTAACCTTTAGTACCTCTCATACAACTTGATGGCTTTTTATTTATTTAAGAAAAAATAAAATCTTGATCTCTGCATATATTTGTAAGCATAACATCGTCGTCTACCTCCAAATAAAATTGCAGACAATGGCTTTGATTACTCCATCCTCAGAGTGTGGTTTATTTTTAATCCTTATTCTCAGGTTTTTAACTCTTT